CTTTCTCGCTTTCATAGTAGCGCGTGTTCGTTGCGTCACACGCACCTGGACGCAGAGAAGTATGCCTTTAATGCAGTGGGAGGCGAGAGGAGCCTCGGTGTTCGGGATACCGGCTGACAGGTTGGCAGCAACGGAAGTTTTGATTCTCTGCCTGACGCGTGAATTGATCCTGAGGTAGTTGTTAAACGAGCCCGCGCGGACCGAGGCATTGTTAGCGTGAGGTTCTGTGGCTGCAGTCTAGCAGAAGCCCGAACATAAATCTTAACGCCTGCGTGGAGGAGGAGCTGAAGCCAGGAGAAGAGTGAAGAAGAGAAAGGCAAACGATCAGCAATGATATAGGTTTTAATGACATTTTTGCTCGGACTGTTCCTTTGAAATTGCAGCGTGGCGACGCGACCGTTTGACTCTGCAGGTCAGCTGGCCGACCTGTCCCTCCCTGGTTTTCGGAGGGTGGGGTCCGCTCCCGTGAGCAGAAGGAGTGCGCACAGGCGAGTGGCCCTTTTCTGAGAGTTCGTTGCAGCGGAGTGGAAACGCCCACTTACGTCGGTGGGTCCTCCAGGCGTCCACAACTTTTATGGTCAATACGCAGCCGTACGTTACACACCCCGCTGCTGGACAGATCCAAAACACGAGTACAATACTCCATGTATCCAGTCCGGAAAGAGGGTTAAAGTTATCTTACAAGTCATTGTAATTAGATACTAACTAATGTATCGCGTTTCTAAAAATACCTGTTTGATTTTTTAACAATGAAATGATGGTATGCATCGCGCAAAGCTATACATATCAGCTTCTCTACCTAGCCAAAGAGCGATGTTGAAGGCAGGGGCATCCAGCTATGTGTACACTGTGAGCTAAGCTAAGCAGTTCCATCTGGCTGTGTCTTTGCTGCACATTGTGGGTCTGGTGTGTGGCTTGATGGGCTGATTTGTTAAAGGCGAGCTATGTACTGTAGCGAATCGGGAGTTGAGAAATGGTCCAAAGGATAGAAATGCTAGGACGATTGCTGATCAGAAACCGTTTTTCCTCTATAAATATGCAATGTGTGCAAGCCAAACTGCGCTGCAAGAGCGAAAACTGTTAAAGAATGGACGATGAAATATAGAGTAGATTATATGTAAGGTGTAGCAGGTGGAGGAGAGAGCTGATGGATGAATCAAGAATTTGATGGTGTGAGTCTCCTGTTTTAATCACTGATCCTGACTGGACGAGAGGCTGAAGAAGCTACACCTCAAAACACTCCATCCTGTCCATTTCCCTCATTCACTGTGTGTGTTTGTGTCCACTTCTGTCTCTGCAATCAGTCGGCTCAATCAAATCAGAAGTACTGAAAGACTTTAAAGCATTTCAGTCAAGGATTCAGCCACAATTGTGATGAACTACTAAATTCTGTTTTTGTACCGCCCATTTTCACGTAGATTTTTTAAGAAACCACGTAGCTAGCATAACACATGTTCTAAATGATTGTTCTAACAGACGCGACTTTGTATTCACTCAACAACACAACTCACAAAGGTTACTTTCCTAGTCATTCATTTGTATTTGAGTTTAATTGACCATTAATTACAGGTAAGAATCTCTGTATGTGGATTGTTTGTGTGGTATTCCCTCCTCACCCCGTAGGAGGGAAGCCCGTTGCTGCAGCAGATCCATCCTCCCTTTTATTTCTTTTTTGAGAGTTTTTTGACCTCCGCCTCCGTGCTGGCAGCGTACTCCGCCTATCCAGGCTCTAGTTCATGACGCCCCGCTGTGGACACCACACACAACACCCCGAAGGGTTAACAAAGGGCGGCTGTGCTCAGAGGTTAGAGCTGTTCGTTCACTAATTACCGAGCCGGTCTGGCGGTTCCACGGTCTCTGCTCATCTTGCTGCAGAGAGACGAATCCTTGAGCAAGATGCTAAACCTCCAAAATTGCCCCGGATTAAACAGCCTGATTAAATATTTTCATCTTCCTCTCCTGTACGTTCCCAAAGTATTAACTATTTGAAGCTTAACAAGCTATATAGATCTCTATGAAGCATCTTAATATGAACCAACTATTCCTCTATATATTTTTATAATTCCGTGTTACGATATTAGTTCACAGTGGTCTCCTCTCCCTCTGCCTGCCCTGTTGTGATCGCAGCCCTTCATCTGTGGTTTGTTTGTCCATAGCCGGTCTCCCCTCCCGACGCTGTTTTTATCATCTACGTCGGTGAATTAAGGATTTATTTCCACCAAACCAGAGTTGGTGATTGTTGGAAACACTAACAGAGACGGTTTTAATGAGTTTTATTTTTTTATTAAACTCTATTTTATTACCTTTAAGAGGATGTGTGCTCCTTGTCTACTACACAACACACTGCAGAGGTAAACTTATAATTTTACTTCACTACTTTACTACTTTACTACTTTATAATTTTTACTTCATAATATCATTAATATAACATCAGTCTGTTTTGTTAAGGTAACTGTGATGTTTCAGGTGTATTTCTGTACCTGCCAGGTGTAGTGGTGTCGAGTGTCTCCCCTGTGTGTCTCTACAGTTGACGTTATCGTGTGTGCAGAGTTTCTTAACCCGGGCCAGGCAGCCTTTCTTGGTGGCGTCCAGCAGGGCGGCATCGCCCCGCAGCAGGTCCTGGATGTCAGTATCGGCGTCCTTCACCAGATCCAGAGGGGTGTTTCCATCCCGGTTCTTCCTAGTCGGGTCTGCGCCGTGCTGGACACGAAAACAATAACACATTAACAAACCCTCATGTGTCCAGGTTTACCTCTCACAGGTCCGTGTTACTGTGTACCTGCAGCAGGAGTTTACAGATGTCGTATTTGCCTTTGGCGGCAGCTTCGTGCAGTGGTGTGAACTTCCAGAGGTCGGCCACGTTGACCACAGCACCGTGAATTACCAACAGCTCAGCAACCTCGTAGTGACCGTACGAGCAGGCGTTATGGAGAGGAACCAGACCTCTGAGGGACAGAGAAACACTTTGCTCGAGTCCGCTTGAGCTTTTAAAGTCACTAGAAGCACATTCACTGTAGTGAGACAGAAACGTGCTTTGGATACTGGGCAGAGTTTTTCTTTCACAGCAGTTTGAGCTTGAGGACATTCTCACTCAATATAAGAATGCAGATAAAAGGAATAAAGAACTCAGTCTGCATGCATTATTAATCGTCACCCTTTATCCTTGGCGTGTACGTCAGCTCCGTGCTGCAGCAGAAACTGGACGACGGCCAGCCGGTTGTATCCAGCGGCGAAGTGCAGCGGCGTCGACTGTCGACCCTCCACATCCCTGCAGTTCACGTTCTGCATCGTACAGAGTTTCTACACAGAGAGAGAGAAAGAAATGAACAAACTTTTTCATCCTCAATTTTGCTGAGCGAAGCTACAGGCAAAGGCGTCGTTCAGTCATTTCATCTTTAAATGAAAAAAAAAATCAGGTCCATTAAGTAATGAAGCAGAAATTAACACATTTGAGTGATAAAACTGTTTCTGTCCTTGTTGCTAAGCAGACCAGACCTCCAGTATGGCTGCCAGAAAGGAAAGCTACCTTAGAGTGTTTCTACCTTGACAGTTTCCACATCTCCTGTTTTTGAGGCTTCCAGCAGCTGTCGGTCGACTTCAGAGTTCCTGATCAGAACTCCTTCTGCTGAGACACACAAAATAATCACAACTCAGTGAAACCAGGCGATATTTCTTATTATATTCAACCAATTAACAATAAACCCAAACAGTGAACACAATAACTGCAGGACGTTTGTGTAAAATTAGACCACAGTTTTATGCAATATAGGGTGCTGAGAGAAACTCTGTCTACTGTATGTAATGGTTAATGGTACTTAATGCTAAATGCATTACATTCATGGTGTTTGCATTCATTTTAACAGCAAGGACAATTTGTACATTTTACCCTCTTTTTCTAACTTAACTTAACTTAAAATAAACATTTCCTGCTACAAACACCAGTGTACACAATGTAAATCCCAGAAAGTTTATGAACTAAGACCTCTCTCAGGGTTGAAAAGCTGTTATCCTGATAGGAATAAAATCCCCTCCCCAGCACACCCTGCAGTATCTCCTGCACGCTCTCGTTGCCCAGCTGTGAAGGCGACAGTCCCTGCAGCGAGGTGAGCAGCGGATCGCAGCCGGCGTTCAGCAGCAGTCTGCAGGTCTGCAGGTGTCCGCAGCGAGCGGCTCGGTGCAGCGGCGTCTGGCCAAGGTGATCCACCGCATTCACCTGTAAGAAGGTTGTCTGTTTAGTTTCAGAGGTCATTCCTTTGAAAGAACAATTAATATCCAGCACAAACAGCCACACGTTAAAGGTTACCTTGGCTTCATGTTTGACCAACACCTCGATGACATCGTTGTGGCCTTTCTCTGCTGCCAGGTGGAGAGGGGTCATCATGCTGAGGGAGTACAGTGACATCACATCAGAAACACTGTGACATCACAATAAAATGGTGGTTTCTAAAAGCTTTTTGAAGACATTTTCTTTTTCTGCTTCATTAATCTGTGAAACCAAAATAAAGGCGTCAGACTCACTCTTTAGTCCTGTCGTTGACGTCGGCTCCCTTCCTCAGCAGAAGCTCACACACTTGTTTCCTCTTCAGGTTCGGAGAAACAGACGCACAATGCTGACGTAGAGATATTTACTACCTTAGTTTTATTATTTGACGACAGAGAGTTGTTGTTAATCTTTACATGTCTAAGTATTAATCTCTTCCTGTACAGACACTCATTTACTGAATGTCAGCATATAAAAAGAAACAGTAAATGAAAAGTCTCACCAGCGCAGCCTCTTGAGTCTGTGGGTGTTTGAAGGTGATTGTCTCCAGGCTCAGGTTCTTCTTGACCCGCACCACGTCGGCCTCCCTGGCCGCCTGCAGCAGGCTGTGACCTCTGAACTCATCTGTCAAACATCCACGAGGACAACTGCGTCAAACAGCAGGATCAGATACACCGACACCTGGTCTCACAGGTAAACAAGGACATTTATCCTGATACCAACATTGTACAGAGTAGGTTACACTGTTGTTTGTAGTCAGCTGACCCTTCATAAGTCCCGCCCCCTTGTTGCTCTGTGCTCCAATAACATTTGAGCAAACCTTGGTCAGCTTCCTCCTATATTAGCAGGTAGCACAAACAGGAAAAGAGGAGGTCCAAAAAAGGGGCGGAGCTTAGGAATGGTCACCTGGGTGACAGGTGGAGGGAGGGGAAGTATTACTGCAATAAATGTGTGTTTTTCTGTTCAGAGCGCGTTGTCTTCATATCCGAACAGTGTATTTACGACCCGGACGTACAGGCCAGCCGTTCTTTGAGCTGCACTGTAGGAGCGAGGTCGATGGAGCTTTTATTGTGACAGTTGAGGAAGGAGGGGTCGGCGCCGTAGCTCAGCAGGAGGGAACACACCTGCACACAAACACAGGTATAGACAATACGTTTCTGCTTACAATGCCATGAATGACGAAGAGGGAGATCATGTCATGGCTGATTGGATAAACTGATATATATTTAACTACATGACGCTGACCGCTACTACTGATCTGAGTAATTAACTTTTAAAAACAGCTAATTAACAACAAACTACAATAAAAAATATATTAATTAGTATGAATAAAACATTTTCTTCTGGACTTCCTGCAGTCAGACCCTGAGCAGAGGTCAGAGGTTGGAGGTCAGTTCTTGCTGCTGTCATTATGATAATTAGCAGAGGAAATAAAGTGTGAATTAGGAAGTGTTGTACCTCAGCTCGGTTCTTGGAAGCAGCTTCATGAAGAGGAGTGAACTGCCATAGGTCCATGGCGTTAACGCCGGCTCCATGCTGAACACACACAGGAAACACAAAGTATTTGACTAGCGGTGGTATTTAATGTGCATAAGACGGACAAAAAAAGAACCAAATAAAATAAACTACTTTAATGCAGATATGTACTCTCTCTTGGGGGCCCTCTGGTGGCCATGTGGGTCCTAAGCAGGCGTTTAGTTTGGCCCCACATTATTTTACATTAGACATGTAAATTCACTGGCTATTTTTGTACTTTTATTAATATTCCCATGTATTCAAAAGAAACTGTGCAATTTATTTTTATTAATTATTTCTGAGTCTTTTACGATCTTTACAATATACGACATCCTGAGCTTTTTAACTCGTTAATGGAAAAAACTATAAAAATAGACAGACAGAAGTTAAATTACACAATGAAGAAACAGAAAACAATATAATATTAATACTACACAATATTATGTAAACAAAGAAGAGAAAACTGACCTTCAGCAGCAGCTCAGTGACCTCGTAGTGACCGTACGAACAGGCATTATGAAGAGGAACTAGATCCCTGAGACACACAGTGAAACCAGTTATTAGACTTCTGTTTTCAGTTTTTATTCTTTCAATTCATTCTAAAATTTTGTTTTAAGTTTGTATTAGTTTTTCTTGGCATTTTGGCCAAAAGCAAGTGTACTATCTGTACTCTGGAAACTCAGTGGTGTCACAGTCTCAAACCATTGTATGTCAGCCATGACAGTTTGGGGGAATCAGCAGCAAGATAATGCCTCAAAATAGATGCAGCCGTTCATAGCCTGTGTCTCACAGCCGGGCCTTTAGTTTCTCCGCAAACCAGACTGAAAGGAGGCTGTGATAATGTGGGAATGGCTTGGGGAATGGTTGTGGCCTGGGATCTTGGTAGGCAATAAGCCCAAACCATGAGTGGAGTGGCTGGGACGACACCAGACAGTTCTTGAGAAGTGGGCAGTTTTGTTCTCTGGTTTGTCGTCTTAATGCACACAAGTCTTTGGCTGTGTGCTTGTGAGAATAAAGAAATCAGAAACTAATGATGACTGATTATGTTTGTTTTTTATGTCAGATTTAGAAAATATTCTTCAGACTTGTGTGGTTGTATTCAAATACTAATTCATGTTCTTTCGACACACCTAAAGCAATTACAATATTACAGTCCTGAAACGTTCCTACTTATGCAACTCAGGTATGATGTAACTAGTTTAATTGTTATGGACAGTTTCCATAACCTTTACATTTAGTTATATTTACACAGATTATACACAAAGGACTTTTGCAGAAACTTTGAATTTGAGCTCTCAAGCTCTATAAAAACACTTCTACACTGACCCTGTCCTGCTAATACAAAATGTCCGCCTAGTGTCGGTGTGTATTCGTCCACTTGATACACAAAAACCAACACACACACACTGTCTTACCCCTTGTCTTTGGCGTGCACATCAGCGCCGTGCTGCAGTAACAGCTGGACGGTCTTGACGCGGTTGTACCCGGCTGCCAGGTGTAACGGTGTCGACTGAAACAACAACCCAACAAACGGTGGGTAACCACGGCAACCTCGATTCACTGACACAAAACTGGTCTGCGAACGAAACTGCGGCTGTACCTTTCGTCCGTCGCTGGCGTGACAGTTGACGTTGAGCGGCGTCAGCAGAGCCATCAGCTTCTCCTCGTTCCCGCTCCTGATGAGACATCGGCACCGTTTAATATCTCAGACTGCAACTAATGATTACTTTTCTACTTTTAATCTGCTAATTGTGACGTTTATAGACAGAATTATGAATTATACTTAATTTTCTGTCGATGGACTAATGGTTTAATTACACTGCTGTACCTTGCACTTTCCAGAAGCTCATCTTTTCTGTATTCACCTGAAAACCAGTCAAAACAATCAACATTAATACCAGATATGTATTGATTAAGATCTAATCGTTATATTTCATGATGAAGGTTTTACATTATGTATCTTCACATTGCAATCGGAAATATATAAAAAAGATACATATAATAACATGATGTGTTATACAGGTAGTTTTCATACATATTAATGCATGTAAGGACGTAAACGGCACCGATCCGGCACACTGGCCCCCAATCAGATCATCAATGAGTGCAGAGATAGTCTATACTTGTGAGGGCCAGCCTGTTTAAGGACATTTGGTGCTCCTCACCTGTCAGCACTGCTTTGGCGGATGGTTCTGCCAGATCCAGAGCGGTTCGACCGTCTATGTTCCTGATGGTCAACTCAGCACCGTGCTGCAGTAACACTACACACACACACACACACACACAGAGAGAAAACATGCTTTACCTACTGTTTCCTCGGTTTAGATGTCACTGGTTCCCAAGTAAGTATGAGTGTGTTTGTACCTATACACACGTCAATCTTGCCCTTGATGGCTGCCTCGTGCAGTGGCGTGTAGTTCCAGTTGTCTCTGGTGTTTGCGTCCGCCCCGTGGTGAAGCAACAAGCTCACCACCTACATAAAAACAACAGGTTTAAACCACTGACAGTATATATAACGGACAGAGCTACCAGGTCTGTGAAGTGTCTTAAACCTGCCTTCTATGTAAAGGCCAGCAGGGGGAGCTCCATTTGCAATACAAACTGATACCATTCAGTCTTATGGAGAAATGAGTCGAATTCTGACTTGATTGATGGAGCTCAGTAAACAGTTTCCTGATGGGAGTTTGTCTGGTCTCATCGTCTAAAGTTTCAGTCTTCTTCCATACCAGCAATGATGTCTTAATCTTATATTACTGAATGGTCCCATTTTAGGAGTAAATATCAGACACTAAAATCACATGAAAATATAACATGAAATATATATTAAAAACATAAAAATAGTTAGACATAAAAATCAGATTGTAAAATTGAACCAAATTCAGATCAAACTAGTCAAACTAGGAAGTGCTGATTAGATATGGTCCATATTCTGTATGTGTCACTATTTCCTCTCAAATCCGTTTACATTTACTGTTATCTGGAATACCAGGATCCTGTTGAGCAGGCGAGCGAGCAGTACCATTGTTTCCAAACCAAGAGCAGTCAATGAGAGCAGCTCAACTCGCTGTATGTGACCTCCACTGGCTCAGACTAACCGCCATGGCAACCCCAAACTGGAGGCTTCAAAAACATTCTCCACAAACCGATGGGTGACGATAGTTTGACAGTTGGTTTAAACATGAAGCTCTCTGGAGTTTGAATGAAAACAAGGTGGAGGTCGGAGGTTCTGTACCTCAGCATGGCCGAAGGAGCAGGCGTTGTGGAGGGAAATCAGCCCTCCGTCGTCTCTGGCGTGGACGTTGGCTCCGTTCTGGAGGAGGAAGTCCACAACGTCTTTACGGCCAAAACCTGAAGGGACAGAGAGAGGACTGTCTAGGTTGTCTGTTATTCACATGCTGTCTGAGCCCTCAGACCTCTTTGTGTTGTTAATTATTCAGTGAAGGAGAGCGCAACGAAAAACACGTACAAAACAAAACCATGACGAATAAAGACAAATAAACACTATAAACACACAAAAGAAGATTTCTCATCAGATTCTCAGTTGAAAATGAAACCACAGACAGATTTAGTGACAGAACATCACCGGCCTGCAGCGAAGTGCAGCGGCGTGGACTTCCTCCCCGCCGTGTCCCGACTGTTCACATTCCCGGCCGACACCAGCTTACGGACTCTCTCCAGGTCTCCGCTCCGACAGGCCTCGAACAGCTCCCTGCTGGCCTCGCCGGCCCCCAACCCCACGCCGGGCTCCACCACCACCTCTGCCACCACGGGCCCCGGAGACACGGCTCCACCCCCAAGGCCGGACGCGCCCGAACCTCTCCGGCCGGACGACATGGACGGTGGCGAACGGCCTCGTCCCAGTTTTAGACACCTCTGGAGAGTTTGGAGTGCGAGCAGCAGGCGGCAGAACCCCAGAACCCCGCAGCGACTGAGGCCATGCAGGAGGACGAACCCGGTAGCCTGCAGGGAGAAAGGAATTATGGGAGTCACACACAAATATTATTAATAATGTCATAGTTTAAAGGAATCATTCTAATATATTGAGACTAAAGCTAACAAAATGCCACAAAATACAGATTTAATGTTCAGATATTGTACATATTATAATATTATTATATATATATTCTGATTTTCAGGTGATTATACGTTTATGAAAACATGAATATTATATTACAGTAATGTAACACTGGAGCTTTAAAGAAAGATGGATTAAAAATACATTAGTTAGTACAAATGTTAAAGCATTAAATATAAATACACTTCCACTGATTACATTATTCATATAGAGAAATACCATAAAGCACAATAACATATACAGATTATGTAATAAAACACTAGGTAGGCTTAAATGAGATATATCTTAACACAATACATGATAGGATAATTATTGGAGTATTATATTGATTGATTGATTGATAAGAGATAAAAACATCATGAATTAAGGAGGTCAAATTCAGGATATATAATAAAGAAAATATGACCATAAAGATAATAAAAAGGCCTGATGATAACAAAAGGCCCTGAGTGAACTCACCGTGGAGCCCCGCAGAGGTATGATGGGAATATTGTGGCTGTTTAGTGGCCGCCTGCATTAAACCATCCCCGGCTGGCAGGCGCTCACACACCGGTCCTCCGCCATCCTCCGCCCCGCCGCTCGGAGCAGGTCGCCGGGGGAGGGCTGCAGGTTTATCCGGTCGCAGGGAGAGACGGAAGGAGAGGTGTGATCCAGCTAAAGGACGGATGAGGGGAGACGGAGGGAGGAGCACAGAACAGCCCCCCCAAAAAACGAGCAGAAAGGAGCGCTTCATTCGTCCGCCTGGCTCCGCCCGAGCGGGTGGAGCTAGACCTGATATATTTTTATCAGCTCGATATTTAATATAATAATAATAATAATGATCAAAACATTTTGTATTTCTAACTGATGATATCTTTACAGGAAATGTCGAATTACTTCTATTTGTGGTCCCAATAAAACCTGCTTACAGTTAACAAATGATAAAACATATTTATTGTATATATAAATATATTTATATATAATAAATATATGTATTATATTTATAAATATGATATGATATATATATAGTATAAATCATATATAAATATTATATGTAATATGTATATACAACAAATACATATTTATTATATAATAGTACATATATAATATTATATACACTGTGTAATACATTTTATTTCTCTTCATCCACCTTTTTAAGGCAGTATTTCCCACATATATATAATATTTATACATAATATATTGATTTTAATGCTACACACTGTGTGTATCCAATAGTCTGTTCATGTATCTGTATATAAAAAGGTGTAAACACTGTACATATGTACTGATCCTCCATGTCCGATACCGTCTTTACCCTCTACAACTAAACTGTTAATAATACATTTGTATGGATGCACTTTGTCTAAAGCTCTAATATGTAACATTAAACCATTAAAAGGTCTAGAAACACTCATTTTATAGTAGATATTTGTCTCTACTTCATTACACACTTCATAAATTAAGATATGTACACATAAACTGTGAGGTAGTTTCTTTTTTAACAAAACATCATATTTTATAAACTCTTCATATGTGTGTAAAAATCTTACCAATGTAGTGAAGTAGAGACAAAAGTCTCTTACAGTACTGACACACTTTATTAATGATCAGAGCTGTTTATTATACAGATTCACATGTCTAATGTAAAATAACAAAAACAGTTTTAACTGGCTTATTTAAAGAAAATTAGCTTTTTTTAATTAAAAGGTTTAAATACATTTTGCAAATCTATCCTTTTTTGCAGTTTTTTATTATTTAGATTAAACAGTTAACTTTAAGTTTAATACTGTTAATACATTTATAAAATGATGTAAAATCAGTGACATTAACAGTAAAAAGTATTAGTTGTGTAATTTTAATGGATTAGTTAATTAACTGACAGATATCCTGGAAGTAAATTCACATTAAAATAATAAATATCACCTGTATTTATAGATCATTGTTGTCATCAGTGTAAATATCTTTAAACATTAAAAAGACAAAACACTACACAAGATTTGTATTTGTTGTTTGTTTTTTGGGATATTTTTTATTTTTTTTTCCACAATCCACATGATTATATGTGTAATAAAGA